GTTTGAACAATGAGCGAGTGAACATTGTGGAGGGGTCAGCCTCCTTCGAAATGAAAGAACTGCACACAGAGTAAGAACCAAATATGTAGGAGCATATGACCACTCTCAGATCTTTTGCCTGCACCAAGCAGGAAAGGAAGATGATGGTGATAAACCTGTGCCAACTGGCACTGTATGTTGGAGCTGCTTAAGACAAGCAGCAGGAGTGGTTGAAGTGTAATCACCATGAGAATTGAGTCAGGAGAGGAGTGTTAGCAGAAGTCACAAGCACAGCCTTGACAAGGGAGCAGTGTGGCATATTTGCTCAAAACAAAGACTATGGAGCCAGAAGAACAGTTGTTGGTAGCGAATGGCTCTGAAATGACGTTTGTTTCTTGGCAACAGCCACGAAACAGACAACAGAACAATGTCTGTTGCTAGACAGCAGATTTTTTGATAAGCAACAATCGAACAGCAACAGAGGAACAGTGTTTTCTGTGTAGTCCATGCCCAGATATTATAACTAGGACAGTCTGGGGCAACCAGTCAGTTGTAGGAAATAAAGAAAGAGAGAAATATTTTAAATTTGTATTCACCTGATAAGCGGCACGCGGTAGCATGGTTGGTTGAGGGGCTATGCTACAAGCTGGATGGCCGTGAGTTCAAGTCCCGATGAGATCATTGGATTTTTTCAGTTGACCTAATCCTTCCAGCCACACTATGGCCCTAGGGTTGACTCAACATTTAACAGAAATGAGTACCAGGAATTAATTAAATAATTTTCCTCAGGAGTAAAGGGCAGCCAGTGCATAAGGCTGACAACCTTACCACCATCTTTGAGCCGATTGTCTAGATAATGTGAGAGCCTCAACGTCTCCCAACCCTATGGGCCTTCACGGCCTGATACAGGGATAGCTTTACTTTTTTTTGTATTCGCCTGATATTGTTAGAGGCCATGATGGCCCTGCCTATAGATACAGGAAGATATACAGAATTTTATTGAAGAACGTCTTTAAAATGAGCCAGTTTGAAGATGAATACAGGAATGTGGTGTATTTGCTCAGAGCAAGAACTGTGGAGGCAGAGAAACAGCTGTTGCTTGGTAAAGGCCTGTACACACATAGCAGAGGAACAAATCATGTACACTCTGACCTCGTGCAACAATAGAAAAGGTGTTGCAAGTGACGTTCTGTGTGGGTCTGTGCCACACTTGTTGCTATGCAGCTGTGCGGTAAACGCATCTCTGCACCAGTGAATCAACACAACAGTAGAGGATGTGGTGATTTCTGTGAGTCTGTCGTGAGGCTACATAAAAAGGATCTCATGCAGCTAGAAGGACAATTGAGTTGAGTTTCGGGAGTTCATAGTTGCAGCAGAGAATTGAGAGAGTCGCCGGTCAAAGATGATGGCAAGAAAGGAATTAAGCTATGCATGGAAGATTTCACATTTGCTGCGATGACAGTGAGACTGTTATAAATCCGTTGACTGGTTAAAACTAGGGAATACTGAGAACCCTAGTGTGTGCAACAGTGAACTGTAAAGTATCTAGATCAGTGATAGTGCTGTATTACTTGTAGTTATGAGTTGGGTGTTTAAGTTGTCAATAAATCCAATCGCCCAATCCAAAACCCATCTATAAGTCAAGCCCAGCCCCTTAACACATAACAGTATTAACTGGGAGTGAATTGAATTGATCCCAGATAGACTCTTGTATTCACAGAGAAAGGATAACACTGTTTCTAGCTTACCAGTATCCTTAAGAATGTAACTAGGTGTATAGTCTGTACTTATGCAGTTGCAGAAGTGATGCTTGGTTTATGACTCATAAAGTTATAATTATCTTATCTTTAAGTGACACTAAATTGTATATGGATATACAGTTATGGTTTGCAGGTGGCTCATATACTTAATTTACAATATGTAGCGTTAATAGTAATGTTGGAAAGGTCTCCTCCACGTATTTTCCAATAGTTTTCTTTGTGATTTCACATTCTTTGTTGGTCATGATGTCATTTGTTGCTGATAAGAGTCATACTACAGGTATCAGACTTGACAGAGGCTGGAATTATTTTTCCTTGTACATATTTATTCTAAATTTTCAACATATCAAAATATGTATAAAATAGAAGTTTTAGATATTAACAAAAGTGTGTATGTCATACACAGTATTTTCATTGATGAGTTATAGAGTATGGAAGTTCAGTTTCAGTTTTGGGGAAATTCTATGAAGTTTTGTTTGAACTTGTCATAAAGGAGTTACCTTGAATCAGAATTAAACTTAATCAAGGTGTGTAAGTGTAGGCTTTTAATTCTGATTTTAGTTGAATATATATAGAAGTTTTGGAGATATATCATACCATCAGAATGAATTTGCTTAACTCTTGGAAGCATGAAATTCATGAAAGTAATATTTAAAATTTCAGTTCATACCTAAGTGAAAACACCATAAATCTCTGTTACAAAAATTTAAGTTTTTATTGTTAGGGAATTAGGAGCTGGGGTATCGTAGTCCGTATAGTGACGGGCTACAGGCTGGTAGACCGAGGAGTCAGAGTTCAGAGTCCTGGTAGGATCAAGAATTTTCTCTTCTCCATGTTGTCCAGACTGGCTCTGGGGTCCACCCAACCTCCTATCCAATGGGTACCAGGGGCTCCTTCCCCAGGAGTAAAGCGGCCAGGGCGTAAAACTGACCACTCTCCTCCAGCTAATGCCAAGGTCAAGAAAGTGTGGACCTATACATCCACTTCTCCATACGCCTTCAAGGAGTAGTGCTGAATTAGTTAAGCACAAGGAAAACTTTACCTTGCCTTGTTACCTTGTTAGGGAATTACTGTTTTTTTTTTGAGAACTAAACAAAACTTGTAAATACACTGTGCGGAAAAGTCAGACTTTCTAATGTTAAAATAGCAGGTATAGTTATGATTGTGCTTTAACCCTTTAAAGTCCGATGGTCACTATATGCAGCACCTGCTTTAACATACTAAAACTCTGCGTTCTGCCAACTGAATGGGTGTATTACCTGCTGTTCTCACAATAAATGATTGTTTCTCCAAAATGGCATTAACCAGTTGATCTTTGTAGTGGAGACATAATGTTTCTTTTTTCTGTGAGGTACTGACTAAACAGTTAATTACTATTAGAAAAAATTCAGTCTTTAAAGGGTTAATTTGTCTTTTTTGGTGTCATACATGTGTAACATAAACAGTCATTCTCTGACAGTTCTAATCAAAAGTAACAAAGATAAACAGCAGTATTTTTATATGTGATCAAGAAAGAACATTGGAGTGTTTTAATGGGCCAAACTGTACCTGTTGTCATCACAGTACAATCTGTTATAACACAGGTTCTTAAAATGGGTTTAAATTCATTATTGTTTTGACAATTACAGTGTCATCCTCAAGGGTAGATACTTAAAAATACAGAAGATTCTACCCCAAGGTTGTTTTTTATGATTATACGTAATTTTAAAAAGTTTTCCCCCACATATTACAGTCATGAAAGATAACCTTGAGCAAAATTCTTCAGTATTAGTATATACCTCTGAAGATGACATCATAAATGTTGAAACATGTTGGGACAATGATGAATTTAGATTTATCTCAAGAATTTGTGCTCTCAATGTTCTTTCAGAGGGTTCAGCCTTTTTTTATATGTCTTAAGAATATTACACATTGTATAAAATGCTTAAATTTCTTTTTTGTGCCTTTGCACACAGTCTTTCAAGTTAATAAAAGGCTACATATATGTAATGTTACATTTAAAAATGCTTAATTAAGAAATTCTTAAATGTCAAGTTTGCATGTGTGTTTCCAGTTGCAAGCTGTTATTCATCCTTAGCAGCACTGAATCAGCAGAACCTTGAACGAATTAGTGCTGCTTAGCAACTTGAAACAGCTGAACCTTGAGCAGAAACATACCTAAGAATCATATATATATATATATGTATAATTTGCCCTCAAATAGGTGTAATATTTTATATTCTAATATCTTTCTTTATTTCTTTTTCCCTGTGCATGTTTCATCTGTTCTGAATATCAAGGGATACATGTAACATCTGACCAAAGGTTATTTGAAACCTGTATAAAGACATCTTATTAGATGTTTTACATTCTTAAATCTTTAAAATGCTGTTAAAACTCTCAGTGTTAATAAATTGTATTGCTCTTATATTTCTCTCTGTATGTTTATGTCTATTGTGACTTGTTATTTCGTCTTGTGTGTGTAGTTTTATACTGATTGTAATTATTCTTGTGCTTCTTGCTTTTTTAATGTTATCACTTCCAGTTGTTCCCTGTTGTCTGTATGGTACACACGCATATGCATATGCACACATGCTCTCTCTTTTTTGTGTGCCCTCTCTGCACACTTACGCACATGCACAGACACACGGGTTGACCCATGTAACAATGGAGATCTTTCTAACAGTGATGCAGGCAACTTGAATTCATCTCACGAGTAATGTTACCAATCATGCTAAAATGCTTCTCCCCCCCCCTCCAACAGTAGCAAAAGCATTTGCGTTTCTTTAGTAACATTATTTGTGAAAATGTTAAAATCATTTGTATTTCCATTAGGAAGCACTGACAGCCCTGTGTTAACTGAAACTTTAATTTTTTTTGTCATATGAGTCTATGGTGTGAAGCTTTGTGCTGTTACATGTAACATCTGTGCATGTGAGCACATGTGTACATGCACATGTACTTGTGGGCATATATATCAGTTATTAGCAATACAATGGCATTGAAAATTATAATCTTAATTTTAGATAGCCTGTATTGTCATTTTCTGTAAGTTACATTACATAAATTTTATTTAAATTTACGTATCAAGATATATAAACATATAATGTTTTTTTAATATATAATAGACCCAAGAAAGTATGTGCAGTGTTTATTTGGTGTGATTTTGTTTTTTATTAAGAATTTTTATGTGCAGTCTGCTTAAGACTGACACCCTCAGAAAATGGTTTTCTACGTTTTAAGTTTTCATAAATTCACAATTGATGACGTCATTGCTTTCAGATGATCCATGTACTAGCACTTTCAGTAATAGCGGTGGTCCTTCGTCACCCTGAAATGGTGGAAGACTCGATGGATCCTGTGTTGCCAACACCTCTGAGTGAAGTTGAGGAACCAGTTGTGGAGATCATAAGTCCAAATCTTGGTCCCAGTATTGAGCTAAGTCTAAAGCCTGAAGAGCCAGATGACACTAGGATACAGTCAAGTTTATCCACAGCCCATGGTTATCATGACATCTTTACCCACCGCAGTCTGAATCACCGTGAGTTTTATCCTGTTGGTAACACAATATATGCCTTTAACACTAGAACATTGAGACTGGTTAAACTTATTATCTCCTCAGTTATAGCAGGAACCAATACTGGAAAGGTTCATTGTGCCATGGTTAAAGTCTCAAAACACATCATATTTTGATGACACTTTACTGCTAGGGCAAATACCATATATTCAGTTTCCCATACAACCTAAGAATTAATTTCATCTGTTGCCCCTTCAGCGAGAATGTACTCCTGGTTCAGTAAGAGCTTCATGTAATGAAATTCGTGTGTTCCAGAAATGTTTATTTTTTGTAACCATTTCCACAGTGCAGCATCCCTATAACTGAGCAATGTTGACTGTTGCATTGAAAGACAGTAGTTGATTGATGACATAAATACATGTGATAAATGCAGAGAAGAACAGTTCCATGAAGTTTTGTAGTATTATCTCTATTGAAAGAGCTACAAATTTAAATCTGATGGTGCAGAACCCAAACTTCGCAGTTGAGTTTGTAGCACGTTCCCCCCCCACAAATATCAAGATAGAATTATCCTTTGGCACCATCAAATTTTTGGCTATAATGTTGTATTAGTGTTTCCTTATCCATATTTAATTTTTCTGCTACTATGCTGATGCTCAAATGGCAATCATTATGTACAGTAGTCCTCACTTTCCACATTCTCATTGGTTTTCACTGGTACTAGATGACCAGGTCATTCTTCATCATCTTCTGCCTCTTCTAAAATCAGCATATGCCATTCAGAAACATGCGCCCTTAGTAGGGTATCTTTTCAATACACCTCCCATAACCGCTGCTATGTTTTGGTGACAGTTTTATTTAGTTTTCTTTGTGGATGAGGGAAGTAGTTTGAGAGCAGCGTGTAGCATTTCCAGTCTTGTTATTTTATAGTCATATTTTATACATAATCATTGGTATTATTTTGTTTCAGTATGCAGTTTTAACACAAACGCTACAGGATACAAGTTAACTAAATAAAAAGTCATGTTATCTAAAAAATGCAATGAACAAAAATGTGTATTGTTCTCGTTATGTGTACAGGTTTGTCTGGCACCTTAGTTGCTTGTTTTGAAGTTTTGCCTGGAATTTCAGCACTTCGGAAAATTTCAGGAACTTTGATCTGATGTCTTCCACTTGAGAAACCACATCTCACATTCTGTAGTTTATGTGTACTCGTACAGCCAGCTAAGCTCCTTTTATCTCCAGAAATTTTCCACTGTCAGGTGGAGCTTGACTTCCTGACTGACAGTGACCGTCTTCAGATGCCTGCCTCTTTGCCCTCTTGGGTCTAAGAATGATCACCAAGCAATTGAGTGTTTGTGATTAGAAGGCTGTTTCCAATTTTTTGAATTTTTAATCGATATGAAACTTCTTTATGATGCTCATTGCCAGTTTTTTCAGAGCATATAGCAGCTTGCAACTGTAAAATGTGTGTGAAGATCCTACCAGCCACGCACATTACAGTTGAATTTCTGCAGGTGGTAAGCACACAGTCACAACTAGGCGATCAAAAAGACAACTTGCAAACATAATGGCAACACATATGTCACATTCATTAACTGCACGGATTGAAATATGTGGATGTGGAACCAATGGCAGTTCTTAAGATGACAAAAATATGTTAGAAATTATTACAGAATATTGAAAAAAAGTAGTCAGCTGGTATGCTAGAGTGATGTATTTTCCTTATGTGATTTGAGTTTTGTTGTTGAAACTAATATTGAACATCAAGATGCCTTTAAATTATGTGTGTGTGTGCAGAGGACCTGAATGTCGGTGCGGTTGTGACATTCTGCACATTTGCCATAACCCTTCTTATGGTGTATGGAGCTGTGAAAGGCAAACCATCTTATCTGATGCCATTTTTCTGTCTCCAAGTCTTTGACTTCTGTATCGCTAGGTAAGAAATGTGTTTCAGACTGATATCATGTAAGAAGTTATTCATAGAATTAGCAAAATTGTGACACTTGAGTTACTATGCGCACTTCACACATAGAGCTCAGATGAAATTTTTAAAATCATTGAAGGGTTGCAGAAAAATAGGTAGAATGAGGAATGACGATGTGAGGACAGGACTGGATATTTTCTCGTTGAACCAAAAATAGAAGAAAATGGTGGGAGAATGAGCATCTCTGGAGAATGGCTGGAATTCATATTCCTAACCAACAAGCTTTGATTTACAAAGTACGAGGTAAGTACGTGTATGGCAAGAGAGGTGTGAACACAGGGGATGAGATGGATGATGCAAGAACAGGCAACTGCCTGATTTTGGAGTGTGGGTGGAATGGAATCTTATCTGTGATTTTAGATGTGCATTTTTTGCATACTAGGAGTAAAATACAGATGACGGAAATGTGCACATATGCACTCACCCATGCACCCATGCGTGATGGCCCACATGCTAGTTATTTTTGCTGTGCTTTCTGTTAGTGATTTCGAAAACTGCTTACAATATGGTACAAGTTTAATATTCCTTCTAACTAATACAAACACCCACTGTTCTTAGAACACCACAGTGAGCTCTTTATTTTTTCTTCCCTCTGCATCATGGTGCAGTCAAGCAAATATGACATCTACTAGGAGCAAGGTTATTCTGTCTGAAGATGAATTACACAGAACCAAAATGTAAAATGAGAGCTTCTTTCCAACATGTTCATAATAATGAGTGGTTTCTAACCATCTGCCACTTCTTTGCCATAATTTTTGCACCAACTATACACTTACGACCAACTTCCATTCTGACTGACAGGTTGTAAGTTGATCTGGTCGTAATTCGGTCATATATTTATTAACAGNATCCTTGTAATTTATTTTTAAAAACTTTAACATTTTAATCATTTTTTTTTTTTGTCTTAAGTGCGGCCGGTCGTAAGTTGCATAGGTCGTAAGTCGACAACCAAGTGTACTTGGAGCTTTTCTTCCAGAGCTGTTTATGACTAGCAGTCTGTAAAGGTTCTGTTAACTGAGCCACTTGTCCCTTCCCTTGTCTAGGAGCAGTTTACCCCCTCCCCCCACACACATACACACACCAAGTTTTAATGTGAGAAATGTGTATGATGTAATGTCCACTGCACTGTGCACTATCTTCCTCTCTTTTATCACACAATTTTCCACTGTCCAAGATGGGATGGTGAGTAGATGTTGGGAGAGGTGTGCATTCATAGTTTTAATAAAGGCTGTGTGAGAACAGTTTGAAGCTAAGTAAGTTCATCATTACTGTTATATGTTAGAATAACAAGAAAATATTGTGGCAAGGGGGGGGATTCAGCTGAATAAAAATATAATTTCCATTAGTTTTACTCTGTAAAGGCTTAAAAACATATTTATGGACATCTCAATAAAGTTCATCCATGTAATTTCATCTCTGTAATAATAAATGGACCTTATTACTTCATAAATCTTCATTTTCACTACATTGACCAACTGTTAAAGTGTTTGATGTCACTGAGTTTATTTAGTCTCTGTCCTTGTTTCTTTTTTCATCAATCATAAACTTATATGGTTTATTATTTTCATTTTACATATTGGAATATCACATAAATATGAACATGTACAATTTCTACACCTAAACTAACCTATGGTTGCAAAACTATTATATAACTATTTTCAGATAATGTTTCATGCCAAGATTATTTTGCTTTCAATTATATGTGTTGAGGATATTTCTAATGTAGGTATGTGTTGCCCCTGGCTGCAGGTTCATGATGATACGAAGGCTATGTTTATGTAGAAACCACATTAGTGATGAAAACAAATGCATTATTGACATGTAAATTTGCTGTAGTCTGCAGAAACATTTTTTTAATGGAGGAATGTACTGAAAGTTCACTGTTTCAGTAAGGGCAGTGAGGTAATACAGTACATCACATTTTTGTCTCTTGCAGCCTGACAGCAGTGGGGTATCTATGTTATTTGCCAGACATCCATCGTTTGGTTGCGGTCAGTCGTCACATACCTTTCCAGGAAGAACTGTTGCGCATGAACCCCCAGTGTCTTTCGCTTCTTGTTCTGTTTACATTTGTGGCAGCAATGATGGTTAAAGTAAGTGGAATCTTAATGCTCGTACATTAAAATCCCACATGAAATGGGATTTGGATTAAGTAGAAAACCTTAATATATTGCAAGGAGAAGAGTAAAAAACTTGTAAGCCGAACAAAGTTAACATGGTAAACAAGAATTTAACAGAATAAATTTATTGTGTGTTTATATGATATTCCATACTGTTCTTTTGTCACAGTAGTGAACCTGTCACATACACCAGTAATTTCTTGAGGAAGCATTACACTCACACTACTGTTCAGTGCTTAATGTGCTTCAGAAAATTTTTATGAATTGCTTTATAAGCTTTGGTGAATGCATTCATAATGTAAAAAGATGTAAACTCATCAGAGTTTCATGCAGTTTGAAGATTTACATTCTTTCTTAGTTGATTCTGTTTTTACTTTCTTTTCATTTGTGTGTTGGTACGGTGTGTTATATGAAAATCACTCTTTTTTAGGCCTACTTTATTTGTGTGGTGTGGAGTTGCTACAAGTACCTGAGTCTTCGCCTGGTAGCAGCTCAGAGAACCATTCATTACATCGACCCAGACAGCCAGTCCTTGCTTCCAGACCTGCCTGATTATGAAACTGCTGTTGGTGATCCACGTTTTTCTTTTAAAAAGTTTCCAACTCCCCCTCCATCATATGCAAGTGCTACTGCAGCAGCTGCGGAAGTTTCTCAGGAACCTATAGCTGTTATTCACCCATCCCAACCCCATCCTCATATCGAGCCCCAACCTCAACCCCAACCCCAACCCCAGGTAGCCATTCAAGCTTCTGAACGTCCTAATGCCTAAGTTTCAAATAGCACAACCTGTAGGGATGCCACATCAGATGGAGTAGATGTGATATTGTTATTCAGTGTATTCTCCAAATTTTAACCACAGTTTTGCAGATACAGTAGATCTTTTCCCTGGTGTATGATTCTGATTTGTCTAGTGATTTTTATTACGAAGCTTGTTGAAATGAAAAGAGTTCGATTATTCTGGGTGAAGGAGTTGATGCTGTTAGTAATAGTCCCCATGGGCATTGAGATAGGTATCCCACTGACATGCCAGCTGATGACTTCCCTATGCTATAATTCTCTGCGCTGCTGCTGAAGCCATCGCATCACCACCACTACCCTTTAGTGCTTTCTTAAGGGCGCGAAACACGTGGAAGTTGTGCACTGGTGATGGTCCAGTGCTCTCCATTGCATGAAGCACTGTGTGTCCTATGCAGTGTGATTGATGTGGGGACAGGTGTCATGCAACATTGTGACACACTTCATGAGAATACTGGAACACTCTGTTGATGGCAGTGTGAAGATATCAAAGGAATCCACTACAGTACTTTGGGTTGATGGTGATGTCAGGGTCCTTGAGCAGTCTGCTATTTGTGTTTGGGCAGATTCTGCACCTGGAAGTCTGGCATTTAACAGTATTACACTGTTCACATTTGCACTAATATGCCTCTGCTATTGCACAACTCATGGATAATTTCTGGTGTGTCATGCAGACAGCCATGTGATTGACTAAGACTACGTATATTCACTAGCAGCACCATGAACGGGCTTTATTTGAACAACCCTCGTATATTAGTATCTCAAGTTTGGTTACTCATGTCAGTGAAGAAAAGCTCATATGTATAATGGAGTATGGATTTACCCAGAATGCACAAACAGACTGTCACATAGGACTCAAGAAATGTCCTCCATTACAGTAATGGGTATGAAAATGACAGTAATCAATCTTATAGCAAAATAACTGAAAATTACTTGAATTGAAGTAATTCAGACTGAATCAAACATTCAGCTTTTTGGTTTTCTTGATTTTCCATATACTGTAATGAGTTTGCAGGTATTTAATGTTACTAATGGTACAATGAATTGGCTTTAATTTGTGAAACTTGCACCGATGTATGTAGAATATCTTATTGGAAATTTCCTATAGAGCTTTCTTCCTTAATCTTGTAATGATCTCAGGCCTATCAGCTTATAAATGAGTAAATCCTTTATCTTTATATGTATGAAGAGGCCATTGGATTGCATAGCAAGGTGTAACCAGGCATGAAAGAAAATCACAACACATATAGAATGTATAATTACATATCTGTATATTGAAATATTGAATCTTGGTGTAATTAACATCTTTTGAAAGCTGTGCTACTTACCAGTCATGGCAAATATATATTATCACATTGCTGCACATTTCTAGAAAGTCTGATATAGTGTCACTGTTTTAAGTTCTTTGATGTACCATATCATTAAGCCATTGCCTTTGGGATCTCTCACATTTGTATTTTCAATTGTGGCCATTGCTTTTAAAATAAGTTGCAACCAGTTGCTGAATTTTGATTGTGAATATTGTGAATAATAATAAACTCTATAAAGGGATTGCTTTGAGTTGAAATGGCATTGCAAGTTTGTCATCTGGGGCATGTTTATGGTAAATTTATGCATCAGCTTATTTTATTTCTTGAAGTGACCAAAGTTGAAATGAAACAGCATGCTTTATCCAGATTAGATATCTAAATTAAAAATGTATTTGTTATGTCATATTTTGTGAATATGAAGACATGAATATTTTGTGCAAAATGGATGGATGTGTTGAGTCTGCATGCCTATCTGAAACAGTAGTGAGGAACTACCTCATCACAGATATTTAAGTATGTGGAACAAATTACTAGAAACAGTTGGCTCTAATCCAGTAACAGGAAAATCTGTTAGCTGGAGAGATTGTTCCACACTGCGGTGGAAAGGGGCACTTGATTACTGCATGACAGGTATTTTACTTTACGTGCAGTTTCTGAAGGGTGTTTAGTAGAAGTTTTGGATGGTTATAACTGATTGTTTTAAAGAAAATTTATGTTTTGTAAACAAATAGAAATTGTTCCCAGCAAGTCTTTAGTAGCATCTCAGTTCAGAAATTATCAGCATGGGTCCCAAAATATTAGGGGTATAAATACTGAATTTGATTGAGTTATAAAATATGTCTGATCAGGTATCAATAATGCTGTTTCACTTAACATATTCAAATATTATTTTATCAAAACAGTATTCATGGCTGCAAAGAAGCACATAATTTGTGTTTATATGAAACCATTGTGTTATATTAAGTGTATGTGAATGTTAGTAACATGGGGTTTTCATGAATTAAACTGTCCATCCATTCAACTTAAGAGAGACAATTTAGATTACAGTAGTAAACTTGATTGCTTCATCAGCCTTAGTATTAAATATAGTGAGATCCTTTTCACACTCATTTTTCAGGTTTTATTTGAGCCTAACTTGGACTCTGTTGACAGTTCATAGAGTTTAAAGAGAGTAAAATAGGAAGGAAGTCTTATTCGTTTGCAGTTACTTTATAATTTCTGTATACAATAGAAATTGTTGATCTTTCAGTGTGTCACCTGGGAGGAGGCAGTGGATGTCAGGAGTAGAATTCAGGGAATATGCCTTAAATGTATTGTGGTACTTTGAACTTAAAGTCTGTGTTTGGCTGACCCTGCCATATCTTAGTGATAAAATAAAATTTGTAATTTTTATGAGTTTGTGTGATCATAACTTTATATGCCTTGTAATTAGTTTGAAGCATCATGGTGACACATGCTCTCGTCTGGTCACTGCATTTACTACTTATGTGGATTTTAGTGAAATGTGTTAACTGATATGAAGCACTTAAAAATGTTGTCTATGATAATCATTATCTATTGCACTTGCTCTTCAGTCATGCACTACACACATTTTAATAATGTTAAAAAAACTGAAAATGACGATTGTAGTTGGGTGAAAAGTAACTTCTTTTTATGAAACTATTGGAGGGAGGAGGTTTTCTACACAGTTCAGAAACTGAAGTTTGTATATCATATTTTGTTTTCTGTAGCTCTAAGTTCCTGTACTTGATGACGTCTGTAATGTGTGAAACTCTTCTTTCTTTTCTCAGTATTAATAAATATGTATTTGGGTAGAAACATGGGTTTGAAGTGTAAAATTATACTCAATGAGCACAAGACAATGAAACTGAAGTTATGACATTGACTTAATATCTCAAACGTGTGTCATGCAGTTACATGATTGACAGTATAGAAGGTTAATGGTGTGGATGGCTCCTGTATGCCGTTACAGGAGCTTAGCCCATTATTTTGTAACCCATACTGAAAATATACATTAATAGACATGTTGGTACAGCTCATCTCCCTTGCCCACCCACTATATTGTGTACCCAGAAACGTCCAGTTAGTGTTACAGCTCACAAATTGACATTCAAAAACAAAAATTCTGCCTTTATAGGCTTGTTCCATTGAAGTACAACTTTGACTTTTTGTGAAGAGCTGGGGATTTTGTCTTCCCGCACTATGGGGGTGGTCTTTTGGACTTTGTCTCAAGGGTAACAATTTATTATCCAGGAATAGGGCATTTTTAAATATCCTAGTAATGCGGGGCTGGCATCCATGTTTCATCTCAAGGGAAATGGCATTGGTACTGAATAATGTGATGTGTGGCTGGGTGGGTAGCATGCACACGCCATTGCATTAATGCAAATTATATAGACAGTAGAGGTTAATTATAAAGAACAGGGCTGTTGCACATACAAGCTTTATAGATGGACACTGCTAATTGTGTCTAGTTATATTTCTGCTGGCTGGTTACTTGAACTTCGTGGCCAAGCCAACAGTCAGTTGATTTACAAAGGTGTGTGGCGTAATGTATCCAGATATTTCAGAATCGCTTTGTTTGAATGGACTGATACATGTACATCTTAAAAAAAATTAAAAGTGGTGCTTCAGTTGTGCTTTGAAACTAAATGGTTTTCTGCAATCAGTTTAGTCAGTCTAGATGCACTATGCTACACGCCGGAAGGTCGCAGGTTCAAGTCCTGATGAGGTCATTCGATTTCTTTCAGTTTACTTAATCCTTCCAGCTGCACTATGGCCCTGGGGTTGACTCAGCCTCTAACAGAAATGAATACCAGGAACTAATTAAATACTTTTCTTGGGGACTAAAGTGCAACCGGCGCGTAAGGCTGACAACCTTACTGCCATCTTTGAGTCGATTGTCTAGATAATGTGGGACCCTGAACGTCTCACAACCTTATGGGCTTTCACGGCCTGTTACAGGAAAAGCTTTACATACTTTTAAACGCATTTTTAAGTGTAGTTGAAAGTTGTGAATGCTTTCTGTGATTTGTTTTAAATACAGCCCCACAGACTGTTCTGGCATTGGAGAAGAAGACTGGGTGGGAACTATAGCCAGGAGGCCCAGATAGCTAATGGATTGGGTGGGTGGGCAGGCGTTAGAGGTAGCCTGGATCATTTAGAGAAGGTGAACCCCAAGCTGGCCTGAACATGGAGAAAGGCCCTGGGTACCCAGTCAAAGTCAGCCTCTAACAGAAATGAGTACCAGGAATTAATTAAATAATTTTCCTGGGGAGTAAAGCGCGGCCGGCGCGTAGGGCTGACAACCTTACCGCCTTCTTTGAGCTGATTGTCTAGATAATGTGGGACCCTCAATGTCTCACAACCCTATGGGCCTTGACGGCCTGTTACAGGGATAGCTTTATTTTTTTTACTTTTATAAGGGACTTCTGTCCCACTGGGTGGACCGCATAGCTGGTTTAGATACTATAGAGAAGGGAAAAATCTCAGCCCCTGCCGAGATTCAAATTGCAATTCCCCAGTTGTCTAGCCCATAGCTTGGTCACTATATTCAGTGAACTATCTTGGCCATACAGACCAAAGGTTTACAAAATTTGCTGACCTGCAAATACCCAGTCACTGATAACTGGGTACCTATGGTGCTTCACCCGAGTACACAGACCAGCTCTTTCTGGAGTTAGGTCAAGTAAATTTCTGCTGGTCGTCACTACCACCATAATTCTTGTTCTGAGTCCTGCGGGACTCACAACCATATTTTTCTGCCTCACGACTCTGAGCATCCTGCAGCTATGTTTCATGAGACCAGCTGTGGGTCCCACCCAGCGCCTTTTATACAAGGTAATAGGGCACTTCACTGTAGTGTACAGCCTGGATCTGAACCTTCAGTTTCTTATTGCTAACTGGGTACCTGGAGTGACCGACTCGGGTACAGTGTCTTAGGCTCATAGTACCTGGGGTTCTTCTCCTGTAATAACCAGATTGGCTCTGGTGTCTGTCCAGTTTTATGAGCTGCGTTCCTGGAGCTCTTCTCATATGTCCAGATCGGTTGGGGTTTCAGCCTAGTCTCCTATCCATGGGGAACCTGATGTTCTTGTGTACAGTGTTCAGACAATCTCTTGAAACATAACCGCTGTCTTATCCACTGCTACCTGGAGCTCTCCAGTATTCAGACTGGCTATAAGGCCCACTAAGGCTCTTACCTGCTGGGTACCTGGGGAATTTAGGTTTATTAAGTAAAGTCACTTGGTATGAATTACGGTGAAAGAAATGTGGACGTGTACATGGTAATTCTCGTAATCTGTAGCATATATCTTGAAAATATCGTATATCGGGCTGAATCTGAATCTTCGTAAAGACAGTAATATGCGCATGGAAGTTTACTTAGAGGCTTTACATTGACCCTTAAAATGATGATAAATCCAAATAGGTTGTATTCGAAATGTAATGTAGGACAGTCATACTGATTTTGATCAAAATCAGTTAGTTGAAGTCCTATTGCCTCTGGAACCCCTGGAGGGATGTGCGCTGATCTCCTGCCCAAGAAGTCCTATAGACTTTCTACCTGATTAAGAAATTGTAAAACAGGCCAAGGTTGTAGCGCCCACAGATTATCATCATCTTCTATAATTAATGTCATACTTTTAATCTTTCAGTGGAATTTATTTGCAATGTTTAATTACCAAGACATGAAGAAGTCAGTAGGCCCAAACTGTATTTGTATCGTCTGCAGTGAAATGGTGGCTGTAATCTAATTTTTTTTTATTGCTAGTGGGGTGGACTAAGTCCCTTGTACTGTGGCCACTTCTGGCCTATTGTACCAGCCTCAGATGATAGATGAGGGTGATTGTGGAGCAATTGGTGGAATGAATATTGGCAGGGGAAACGAAATACTTGGAGAAAACCTGCCCCAGGGCCACTTTGTCCACCACAAATCCCACTTGATCGAACCCGGGCCGCCGCGGTGGGAAGCCAGCGACTAACCGCTTGAGCTATGGCGCAGCCCTTGATCTAATGTTACATACGGACCCATATTAGCGCAACTAGTTCAGTTACAGAGGAAGAAATTTCATATTGCAGGGTTTACTATGTTACTGCAAAGCAAGTTTCTGAACTCGCTCGTTCAGACCCTCCTTGAGTCTGCCATCTGTCTTGGGTCTTGAACTTCAATGTCTGGTAATAGTGCTTCCGGTATTGTACCGCCATTATGCTGATAGATGATGATGGCGGGTACGGTTGGTTGATTCGTAATTAATAACGACAGAACACTTTTCTGGTTTGGTATAACGTTTATGGTTTTGTTGTCGGGTGTGGTGTTTGAGCAATGCTGCTTGTTATCATTTATCGAGAAGAGTTTAATATGGCTGTGATGGTGAGTACGGTATTCCAGATGTGTATAACTTTAATACTAGGTTAGAGCGACGAAAACGGGAATTACAGGACGTACACAATAATGTGTAGTGCTGTGTATCGAATCAATAGAACGATTTCCAGTGATAGACCTGCAGATACTAGTACAAGCGATGTGGCCTGCTAGCGATACGTACAGCGTGTCTGTCACAGCAGGGTTGCTGCACACACACTTCAATAACACGTGGGAAGATGTGCAGTGTAACAGTAAACCTCTGTTGTGGCAAATACTGATATGTAATCGTCTATATTTCATGTAAATAAGACATTGAGGAATGACCACTATCGATAAAACATTTATACAGAATTATCACAGCAGCTTGGTTTCTCGTTTGTATACGGGAGGTGCTTGGTTCGAATCTCGACTGGAACACCTACTACCTTGACTGATATTTATAGTTTTCCTCAGTCCCTACAGGCAAATACCGATCTCTCAAGTTAGGACGTGACCACATCATTTCCTTCATTTGCCTATCGTCTTGCAGTTACATGCTGTATAATCTGAGCTGTTTATCGTGCCGTTAAAATAAACCACAAATAAACATTCTAAAAACGTTATCGTGAAGATATAACCTGAATCTTAACACCAAAAATCTTAGCGAAATATTATGTAATAACCTTGCCACCATCTATCCGTCGATTATCAAGAAAATGTGGGAACCTCAACATCTCACAACCCTATGGGACTCCACGGCCTGTTACAAGGATACGTTTACTTTACTTCTAATAATTGTAATTAAGAATTTAAATTTAAAATATTTTGACCAGTTGCCTTAGGTTTCATTCGTTTGTGTTTAGCATACTAACTCTTCCTTACTTGCTCATGGAGCTGAACCCTTCTGGAGGAGCCATCAATTCTGCAGCTACTCAAGAATTTCCCAGCATTTTATGGAACCCGAAGGTTCATTACCGTGTTCACAAGAGCCCTCCACTGCTCCCTATCCTGAGCCAGATCAGTCCATACCATCCCATCCTATCTCTCTAAGATCCATTTTAATAATGTCCACCCACCTACGCCTTGGTCTTCTCAGTGGTCTCTTTTCTTCTGGCTTCCCCACCAATATCCTATACGCATTCGTTTCCCCCATTCGTACTACATGCCCTTCCCACCTCATCCTCTCTGACTTGATCATTCTAATTATACTTGGAGAAGAGTAGAAGTTTTGAAGCTCCTCATTGTGCAGTTTTCTCCAAGCTCCTGTCACTTCATCTCTCTTTGGTCCAAATATTCTCCTCAACACCCTGTTTTCAAACACCCTCAGTCTATCATCCTCCCTTAATGTCAGAGACCAAGTTTCACACCCATACATAACCACAGGCAAAATTATAGTTATTCTAATTTTTATGTTTTTAGACAGCAGACGACAAGACAAAAAGTTCTGGACTGAATGGTAGCAAGTATTACCCGAGTAACTCTAAATGAAATAAATTCAGTAATATGAAGGGGTTTAGTTCGTTTAATGGAATTGCATTGTGGTTAGAAGCTGCAAATACTCGTATATCCCGAATTCAGACACGGTCGCCATATTGTGAAGCTCCAATTTACCGTACAAGCTGTTTTCGTGTTACATCTCACTAAAATGGCATCTGCCTTGTTTTCAAAACTGAGACCCGTTATGGCTCAATACAGTAACGGACTAGGAATTAGATAGCCAGGTTTGAAAACCCGTAGAGAGATGAAATACATATCCTCATCGCCACGTATATAAAACTTTTGGACGTCCACAAAATATGTGTATCGCTAGCCGTCTTTCCGCCACTCGATCATGAAACTGTCATTTCACCATCATTTACTGCCGAGGTTAACGCGTGGAGTTTTTTACCTTCACGTCCGCACATCACTTCATGGTATTTTGGCAGAAGGATAACGTTATGTATAAATCCGGCACACAGCTAGGATACCTTGTAGCTGGCAAGGGCCACTTCATTTTATTGCTCCTAGTTCACTGTACTGTATTCAGATAAAAAAGACAAACGGCATGGTTTTAGTCCGCAGGCGAACTATACCGACCGAGCGACCGCCGCATGTCGGCGAAGTTAGTGCCAACTTTAGCGGATAGAGAATATCGCGTGGTCAGCGCGACGAATCCCCACTGCCGTTAATTTCGGTTTTCTAAACGGGAGCCGCTGTTTCCTTCAAAAAGCTCCTCAACTCTCCTCACGAGGCTGAGTGTACCCCTTTCCAGACCCACTACTTCTCAAAAAATGTGGTAGCGCCGGGAATCGAACCTCGACCTCCGGAACTCTAGCCACTAGACCACAGAGGCGGTCCGTAGCTATGCATGTTACAATATTAAGACATGAATCACATGTTACTCAGTCTGAAATATATGAACATAGGAATCAAAATGAAAATAAGGAAGATAATTTAAGGAGTTTGCTTCTGCCTGTTTTGGAGAGATAATCTGCATATAATTGAATATATTAGTGAGATAACACATTTAGTGACATGACGGAGAAATTCATTTTACGTGTGTTGACTCTCTCGTGAGAACCTCATCTCTTAAGAGAGTTCCTCAACGGGGAAGCTGTTCATCTAATTTTAAGTTTCTCGCCACAAGACCTGTATCTGCTGTAAGAAGGTCGACTGTTCTATATAATATAATGGAAACTACAGTGGAACCTTGCTTAACGAACATAATTCGTTCCAGAATGTTACTCGTAATGCCAAACACTCGTTAAGCGAAACAGTTTTTTTCCCATATAAATTAATGTAAAATACGATAATGCGTTCCATGCCGAAAAAAATACTCAAAACATTTTATGTATAACGTTTATTCAAAGAAAATTATATATACATTGTTAAGGAGCGTGAATCATCTTCATCTTTTCTTCTCTGCGGAGTGAACCAACCTGGAATGAGAATTCGATTTGCAGGAAAAAAAAATCGAAATAATTAGTTTATTATTTATGATACATAGCTAATTCTTTTTTACTAGAAAGCTGTCTAGAGACATTTGTTTTTGCCGACGCTTCAAAATTTTTTTAAAATGCGACACAGCATTATCATTAAATAAATTTGTAGCACGCATAGCCACTGCCTTATTAGGGTGATGCTTCTCAATGTACGATGCAACAGTTTCCCATGCTTTCAGCATTTCTCTTATTGCGCCAGAAGATTGTTGCTTTGCTGTTACCTCCTCCTCCTCTGACAAACTGTCCTCCACAACTTCTTGCTGTGAAACACAATGCAACTCCATAAGCTCTTCGGTGGTCAGCTCTTGGCTGCGGTCTTCCACAAGCTCATCGATATCATTGTTATCCACCTCCAGCCCCATGATCTTGGTCAAAGACACAATCTCATTGACTATAGGCTCCACAGGTACTATCTCAAACCCCTCAAAGTCACATTCGACAACGCTCTCCGGCCAAAGCATCTTCCAAGCAGAAGTGAGGGTTCTCTTGGTAAGCTCTTCCCACGCCTTTTCGATCATCTTGAGGAAGGCAACGATGTGGAAGTGATATTTCCAAAACTCTCTGAGAGTGAGATTGGTCCCTTCAGTCACCTCAAAACAACGCTCGAAGAGTGCTTTAGTATACAGCTTCTTAAAGTTAGAAATAACCTGCTGGTCCATAGGCTGGAGTAACGGAGTGGTGTTGGGAGGCAGAAACTGGATCTTGATGAATTTAAATTCTTCAAGGAGGTCTCATCTTGTAGGTCTGGAGGATGGGCAGGAGCGTTGTCCATAACAAGCAAGACAGGGAGTGGCAGTTTCATCTCAAGCAAATATTTTTTCACAGAAGGACCAAACACTTCATTGATCCAGTCAGTAAAAAGGTCACGTATCACCCAAGCCTTGTTGTTGGACGTCCATATCACATTTAGCATGCTCTTCTGGACTTTACACTTCTTGAAGGCTCGTGGAGTTTCTGAATGGTAAACAAGCAGCTATTTAATTTTCAAATCGCCGCTTGCATTGGCACAGAATAGGAGCGTGAGACGGTCTTTCATTGGCTTATGGCCGGGCAATGCATTATCCTCTGCTGTTATATAGGTTCGCTTCGGCATCTTTTTCCAGAAGAGACCCGTCTCGTCACAATTAAAAACTTGTTGCGGCAGGTAACTCTCAGAATCTACGAGCTTCTTGAAGTCGCCGATGAAGTTCTCTGCTGCCTTTGTGTCGCAGCTTGCTGCTTCACCGTGCCTTACAACGCTGTGGATGCCAGTTCTTCTCTTAAACTTCTCGAACCACCCACGTCTTCCCTTAAATGCTTCTTCTTCGGCCGTTGATGATCCTGGCGTCTTCTTAACGAGGTCGGCGAAAATCACTTTCGCCTTCTCACAAATGATGTTCTCGTTAATAGTGTCGCCTTGCAATTGCTTTTCGTTCATCCATATGGGGAGCATCCTTTCAACATCGTCGAGAATACGTAACCGTTGCGTAGATATTCTTGTCACTCCCTTTGAAGCATCTGTCTCCTTAATCTTGTCCTTGTTCTTGAGGATAGTGCAAATCGTTGATGTAGACCGATTATATGTGCCTGCTAGATCAGCCACGCTCACACCTCGTTCTCGCTTTTCAATGATTTTACGTTACGGTTATTTTTATTCTCTTATGGCTGTCTTTTTGCGGCTTTTTCTTCGGGGACATTTTTGCAAGGGTTATTAAACTTTGCACAAAAGAAAATCACAAATAATATGTCTGAACACAAGCTTGGAAAAATGTGTGATCACAAGCGACACTAAGATGCTAGCGGAACTAGTGCTAGACACAGACTGATGTAGCAAGCACACAGTCCGGGACTCGTTATGCGAAACGTCGCTCGTTAAGCGAGTCATTCTTTTACAATTTGTTTGGCTCGTTATGAGAGGTGCTCGTTAAGCGAGGTTCCACTGTATATACTCCTCTTGTTAGCAGTCGAGCTGTTGTGGTAACAAGCCCATTTTCTCTCGTGGTGGTCTGTTCGTAAGGAACTGAAAAGCAAACCTTGTCTTTGTTTAGCCACATTCATCCACCTACG